ATAACTTTAAATTTACACAATATTTGTTTTATTGATTTCTATATTTGCATAAAAAAATTTAATACACTGTAAAAAAATATGTTACTTAATTTAAGTGAATTGAATTAATAATTAAATTGAATTAAAATTGAGTTAATACAGTGAAGGAGATTGGTTTAATCAACAGAAATTCAAAATATTATGTTTTCTGAACCCCAAAACTATCAGTTTATAATTGAATTAGACAAAAGAAAACAATATGGTGATAACGAATTGTGAAAATATATATTTTACAGAGTACTTTTTACTCCTTTAGGCTTTAGTTTACCCAGGCTTGATGGTATATTTCTGAAAAGACAAAATGTAAAGTAGAGTTCTGCTAAGTGGAAATATCAGCTCAAAATTGCCTATTTCATGCAATGAACAGACATAACACAAGACAAATACTTCAATAACACAGTAAACCTGAAGCAGCACCTGCCCAGCAAGTGGTACGCATGATCCAAAAGTACAATGTGAAAAGAAGAAAAATAATTAGATTATTTTCTCAAGAAAAGCTAAATAAAGTAGATTTTAGCCACTTTATTCTAAAGTAGAATAAAGTGATTTTATTTCATTCAAATTTGTGTGACTATATATATTTGTTTGCCTTAGTAAACACATCACACCTTCGGTTCCTTTTAATGAGTCCGAAGCTAATCACTCATTATGAGAGAGAGAGAGGGAGTACCAAAGGTGCCCGTACTTTTAATAGAAGCCACATAGCTTGTGTTTAATTATGGATGTTAACCCCTGGGCAGCGTGTGCGCGCATATGTGTGTGTGAGACGCTCACTAATGAGTTAAGAAGTGTAATTCTCTGCGTTGCACATGTGCAGGGCCTTTTTTTGACACCAGCCACCAGACTCCTTTTGGCTTCTCGAGAACCTGTCGCCAAAACAACTAGAGCTGCCCCTCGGGAACCCCGACTGACCCTTCTTGTACGTCTGCACACTCATGATAACAAGCACGGGAGAGACCGTAATTGCAGCATATCTTCTGAGAGCGTACACCCCTTCCGACAGGCGCTGTTAAAACAATCTCTAGAATTTACAGCTTTTCACTGTCTACATCTAACGTCAGCGCCCATTAGGGTGGTTTTTCTCAGAAGACATGCAGTGGTAATCCGATACTTTTTTTTTTTTTTTTTCCAAAGGCTTCTCTTAAAACTTCTTCTTAGCGCCCACTGACTCTTTTGTATCTGTCAATTAAGATATGCTTCTCATAAGCCCCTGTACGGTTTACACAATTTGCTCCCAGAGCACTTGTTACTGGTCGGCTCATGTAAGGTTACAGGAGGGCATAATGCCCTCTTTGCTGCCATTTACTGCATGGGTAATAGAGAGTCTGTGATCTTAGTGTTGTATCTCTGCTGTGCTCTGCCCCTCGGAGGCCCATCAGGGTGTTTGTTAGCTCCATTGACGGATCATTAAAGCTTTTAGTCGACCAGATCATTTGTTCTCTAATGAGAGGGAGAAACGCGAGCCCTGATACTCATCGATGATCAATGTCTTCTGCCTGTTTTAACTGTATCACTCGTTCTCGCTGTCTGCATCTTTATCTCGCTATCAGAGATAAAAGTGCAGTTCGAAACGCTTCGGAACAATTAGCCTCACCCCCGTCTAATCAGATCTCTTGTGCAGCCTCGTTTTCATAAAACTTTGTGAATATCCCAAACATGCATCACATTAATGCCCACTCCACTTTTTCTTGCTCCGTGTCTTCCTCTAACGCTCTTGTATTTAATACTTTACAGTGGCTGAATCCTCATTTGCATGCTATCCACAATGAAAAGTATGCAAGATTAGAATTAATGCATCTTGAATCATGGTACGTGTGAAATAGTAGGCCTATCTCAAAGCTCCACAGATGGCGGAATATTTCTAGTGGATTTGCAAAGTATCTGCGTATTTTTGGCTAATCTGTGTGCGCTTTTTGGACTAATATGGCCCATTTGGCATTGCAATATGAAAGACATGAAGTTTATGATGGTTCTCACAGCTTATTCATTAAATGGATGAACTTAAAAGTTAAAGCTGCACTTTTTCCCCTTAAAATTGTATTCATAAATGTGTAGTTTGCTAGATTCTGAAAAAAAAAAAATTCAGTTTTTTTGCATTTCAGTTGATATTTATTTAACAGATAATCTACGAAACTAAAACATAGAAAGTAAACTTTAAAGGATTGGTTCACCCAAAAATGAAAATCCTGTCATTGATTACTCACCCTCATGTCGTTCCAAAGACCTTCATTCCTCTTGTGAACACAAATGAAGATATTTTTGTAGAAATCTGAGAGCTTTTTTTACCTCCATTGACTGCTTTTGCGCGGCGCGATTTTGTTCATACTGCGAGGTAGTCTGGATACCATGGACTTAATTTTCGCCTCATCTAGGGAACCAATTACAGAACGGGGAGGGATCAGCAAGACGATGACGAGGTCTATGCGACACACCAAAGCAGTTTGTTTATATGTATGGATCAAACATGGCAGCAGATGCGAAGTTCAACCTTTTGATGCAGCCACATATTGTTCTAAGTAGTTTAAAACGCAAATAAATCTCTGACCCATCGTCGTCTTCCTCGTCTAATTTCTTTCGCTCTACATACGTCATGTGGTATAATTGAAATGATTGGCTATGAGCTACATACAGGCACATTTGAAAGACATTCGTAGCACCCAATAAACGGCTCTGGGCATTCGTAAACCACGCCTCAAATATGAGAAAATGAACATGTGGTTCCCAAACCATGTCTCAATCTCAACGTGGTCTGACAATAGCCGGCCTATCCATTGACAGCAACGTCATAGCAACTTTCAAGGCCCAGAAAGGTAGTAAAAACATCCTTAAAATAGTCCATGTGACTACAGTGGGTTCAACCTTATTATTACGAAGCGACGAGAATACTTTTTGTGCTCAAAATAACCCCGAAATAATGTGATTATTCCACGTCATTATCCTACGCTGTTGACGTAGTGTAAACAGTGCAGCGTTTCTGGGTTCTACTTCAGAACGTAGGCTCTCTATTGGCCGCCGCTGGTTGCGTGTGTGATGACCCAGGAGTTCTGACGTAGCACCCAAAAGAGCTGCACTGTTTACATGACGTCAACAGCGGGAATGACATGGAAGAGAAGAGATTGTTGATTAAAGTCGTTATTTTAGTTTTTGTTGCGCGCAAAGTATTCTCGTCGCTTTATAATATTAAGGTTGAACCACTGCAGTCACATGGACTATTTTAAAGGTTTAGTTCAACCAAAATGTTTAATTCTTTCATTAATTACTCTCTCTCATCGTTCCAAACATGTAAGACCTTCGTTCATCTTCTGAACACAAATGAAGATATTTTTGATGAAATCTGAGAGCTTTCTGTCCCTCCATTGACAGCAACGTCATTGCAAAGTTCAAGGCCCAGAAAGGTAGTAAAAACATTGTTAAAGTCACCATGAAATAAAAAATTTCAGTATCTATTATAAATGATGCATTGCATGCCTAAAACAATGTATACTATTCTACTCTTTTTTACTATATAATTTATATAATATATAACGTATAAACATTATTTTATGTATCAATTTTTGCAGCGTACCCCAAATTCAACAGGATAGATATCATGAAGAACATAGCAGAAATATGGAAAACGCCAGTGTATTCCATTTCTACTTCTGCTTTTGTTCTCAGTCGAGGAGCTAAAACTTCCTTTAGATTAGTGAAACCAGAGATATACTGCAAACCGCCTGCCTAATAGATCATTCTGACAGTTTAATTTGAATGCTTGATTATCATTCAATCTTATAATTGTATTATCCAACCATTCAATTAATTTGGTCTATATTTACACCGATGATTAGGATCAAAATCGAAATTGTAGTCACTGACTCTGCGTGTCGAAAGTAACCGGGCTATCTTTTGAGGTAGCTCTCCTGATATTCCCCCTCCTATGGGAAAGGGATATCAGCTCCATCTGCTCCCGGCATCTTTTCATTAGATGAACGAGCGCTCTTAGATGAGATTGTGTGCATGGACCCACTTTAAATGACTGGACACAACTGTGCTGTGTGATACAAAATGAGCTTACACATACAGTACAGACATGACTCGAATTTAAATGGATGCTTCTGTTCAAGACTGAAAGACTGAAATCTAGTCTCAGCCTCAGATGTCACAGCCATGGACTGGTCAGACTTCCTCTTGTGCTGTGCTTGGCCAGAGAAAGCTGTGATGGAGTCCAGACCTTCTGCAGTCAGTTTGAAGGTCTAGTTACTCGAGACTAGATGAAATCAGGCTTGTAAGTTAGACTTGGGGTCCCACCAAAAATCTTAATTAAAATGTATATATAGCCATCAGAGAATGGATACATGGTGGCCACAAAGGGATGGACATGGTCAGAAACAATGCTCAGGTAGGCCGTGGCCCAATTGGCACCAATTGGAAAACATCCCCCACACCATTACACCACCACCACCAGCCTGCACAGTGGTAACAAGGCATGATGGATCCATGTTCTCATTCTGTTTACGCCAATAGCAAAACCCCAATGATCCAATCAATTCCTGATTGCTGACAAGTCCCGTCCTATATTTGTATCAGATTCTAGAAGACATTTCACTTGCCAACGTTTCTTGCCAACTTTAATTTTAAAGGGGGTCCTGTTATGCCCCCTTTTTACAGAAAAGTGTCCCGGGAATATTTCTGTGACGTTTCAGCTCAAAATACCCCGCAGATCAAATCTAGCAATACAGAAAGATCTTTATGCATCCTCGTATTCAGTCAAGAGTACTTCAGGTTTACTGAAGGGCACACAAGAAAACAGGCCGTGTTTGAAATTCCATGTGCAAATATCGGCAGCAGGCTGAGGGCCCGATACAGCAAGGCTCTGTGAGCTTTAGGTCATGTTTACCTGCAGCGGGTCAAACAGTGTTTTCCCTCAAAACCGATTCTTTTTTCCTCACATTCTCTCTCTTTTCCCTTGCGCCTCTCTGCAGATGACGTTCCTCCATACTTTAAAACCGAGCCTGTACCGAGTCAGTTGCACCTGGAGAGGAACCGGTTGGTTCTGACCTGTATGGCCGAGGGGAGCTGGCCTTTGGAATTTAAATGGATCCACAACGACACAGAGATCACGCGCTTCTCGCTGGAGTACAGGTCAGTGTGTGTTTTCATGCATGTTTTAAATACAAATGATTAGCAGTTTGTTGTGAAGCATCAAAAATAGAACTGTCTACAATAGAACTGCATTAAACTTAATTTGACAAAAACTTGGAGTCTTTTTAGCGGCTGCTCTGGCCACTTTAATTTCCCGTGCCTCAAATAATGTTATTTTATTTCTAAATATCTTTTATTTTTCTCTATTATTTTATTCTATGTGTTGTTTATATATCTCTTTTAGTCATTTATTTACTTTTTACTTTTAAACTGAGAGTAACTTCCGAATTTGCTTTTGATGGGTTCTGGACTTAGGTTTTAGCAATACGAGAAATATGAATTATAAAATATTCATGAAAAGTCAAGTTTTGTGCTAATGGATTCATGTTGAGAATAAAGTAGAAAGAAAATAAGGTTTTCACCCTCATTTGGTGTTCTATTCATGCAATGAAAGTCAACGGGAGTGTTGTTTTGGACCCCATTGACTTACAGTATATAGACAAAAACAGTTGACTTTCATTATATTGACAAAATCATACTGGTTTGGAATGACATGAGCGTGAGTAAATGATGGCAGAAATTTTATTTTTAGGTGAACTTTCCCTTTAAGTCAGTGGTTTCATCTCATGGTCCACTTTCCTGCACATTTCGCTCCAACCCTAAACATACACATCATCAATATCTGTGTGGGTTTAGCAGATAAAACAGAATAAATTATTATTATTATTATTATTATTATTATTTTCATTTTTGAAGTAGACTATTTTGAAACTACAGTATATTTCCCTGAGTTAAAAAAGTAAGAAAATCTCTCCATATCCATGAAAGTAACCAATATGATTAATTTTAGTTGTATTAGGTTATAATCCTTATAATAGTGATTGTAATCCTTATAAGAGTGAAACCGTGAACTGTGATTAGACCAGCAGGAATGTGATGGCACATAAATGGTTCCATCTTTACTTTGTATGGTGACGATTCAAAGAAACAATTATTAGGTGTTGAAGCGAAGGAATCCACTTTTAAGGACGATTGTATCTGCCACCAAATGTGCTTTGGTCATCCAATTCAGACTTTTTTTTTTTAATTAACTATCGTCTGAAAATAATGTAAACTCTGGAGCTGTGGTGAATGGAGTTTTAATTAAAAAGATAAAACCGGCTGATTAAACTGAGGGACAGGACAATGTTGTGTTGGTCACTGTGCTGTTAAGACCTTGTTATCACTAAAATCCAGTTACAGTTGAGCTCTTTCTAACAATGGCTACGTTTATTAAATAAAAGTGAAAATTCTGTCATCATTTACTCGCACTCATGTTGTTCCAAACCTGTATGACTTTTTTTCTTCTGTGGAACATAAAAGAAGGTATTTTAAATAAAACTCTGTTTTTTTCTATCCATACAATGAAAGTAAATTCCGATACATGTTGTGTCGACTGCAACTTTCTTCAAAATATCTTCTTTTCTGTTCCATAGAAGAAAGAAAGTCATAGGTTTTGAACGACATGAGGGTGAATTAATCATGACAGTTTTATTTATTATTATGCCTGTAAAACATATGCAAAACCATAATCTACAGTATGTGTCCAGACAAAGTTATAATCTGTGCTTTGAGACACAGTGAAAAATCCTAACACATTTTTAAAGGAAAACGAAACATGGAGAGAAATGAAAATGAAAATAAATCAATATACAAATGAATAATTATAAATAAACTCTTATGGCCATTTTCAATTTAATTTCAGTCTGGACTGCTGCGTGGTTTAATAATGAGCAGAATTGCTTAAATGAATTAATTATAAACAAGAAAATAAATAAATAGCAAGCTGTATATCCAGAACAGAACAGTGTGGAGCAGAATTGGATGACATCTTGGATGACGTGGGGGTGAGTAAATTATTAGATTTTTTTTTTTTTAAGTGAACTACTCCTTTAAGGTCAGTAACATTAGTCAGAACGATGACTTGGAACTGTAATGCATAAAGAATTCTAATTGAAACCCAGTTGTCAGATGTTTGTACACTTGTGTTGTGTGGGATGTCTCCTGTGTCACTGGCGTCCTTCTCTAAGACATGTGAAGGCATCTGAAAGCAGGTGGGTCAGCAAAGCCGAATGGTAATTTGGCCATGAATGCTCTTCTATGCAAAGAGAGAGAGTGATGAATCGTCATTTAAAAGCATCCCAGCTCTCACAATGACCTTTCCTTTCCATGCCCCCTGACACATAAGTGTGTGTGTGTGTGTGTGTTTCTCTCGTACACAAAGAAGACTTTCCCAAATGAGCTCAATCAATTTTTGTCTGGCAGTGGTGTTGGTCTCTAATGCCAGCTCAGCTGACTCTGCTAGTGTGGTGCTAATGACATCAGCCTGCCTGGGCATCCAATGAGCTCAGGCGTGTTTAACACTACCAAGTGCTTTGTGGGATTAAATGTGATTGTGTCATTTTTATTTTTATAATTGCTCCTACCCCTGCTTAAAATGCAGAGACAATTAAGCAGGTAATTTGTAGATTGATACTCCTGAAAAATCAGTTGTCTCTGAGCATCTTGACCTTGTGTTGGGTAATTAATTGTTGCTAATCAGTGACACTTGACTGATTGCTGCTTTACTGATTTGTCATTAGATTGGTTGTTTTTTATTTATTTATTGTAATAATTCTCCAAATTGTGTACAGTACACTACCATTCACAATTGTGAATGATAGTTTTATTCATCTAAAGTATCGCATTTTTCACAAAAATATTAAGCAGCACATCCATTTTCAACATTGATAATAATATGAAGTGTTTCTTGAGCAGCAAATCACCACATTATAATGATTTCTGAAGGATTATGTGGAAGTAGAAAACAGTTATTTTAAATTGTAATAACATTTCACATTACCGTTGATCAATGCCTTGGTGAGCATGAGAAATAAAATATCGGAGCGATTACATGAAATTGTAAATTAAGTAATTGTGTCAACCTGTTATTCAATGTTGGATATTTCACTGTTTTGATTTCTTGCTCTTCTGTGGAACACAAAATTCTGCCCAAATGATATTGTGAAGAATAGATCCAAGTTTTCAGTATATTTCCTGCCACTCAAATCATAATACAAGGACAGCATTTGAATGTGAATATCATTTCCATTGGAGGGAAAAAAATAAATATTATATCTATTTATTTAACTGTATTTCTGAAGGCCTTGGGTCATAACAAGAGAGATTTTGAGGAGAGAAAGAGAGAAAAAGCAACCTAGCCTGTTCACATGTCACCAGATAAAAGTCTCGCAGTTATGTTTTAATGCTATTCTCTCTACTTTTTGTTCTATTATACTTTGGTTTGGTTTGGTCTCCAGGTTTCACTCTAGGGTTTTCATTTCTTGTGTTAAAATCTCAGCAAACAAGTTCCTCTCACGGCTGACTCTCAGACCATTTTCACATTAACAGGGACAATTTCACGTTGGATCTGCACAAATTAACTAGAGTTCAGTGCAATAATTTGCCTTGTCTGGAGGATGGCAGAGACGAGTTAACCACTGAGGGTTCTCACAGAAATTCTGTGAAAGATCCTTTAATATCCTTTAAAATAAGGTGTAATGAGTTGAAATTTCTAACAGTTTTTATCACAGTTCGGTAGTCACAGTTTCCAGTTCTACTAGGAGAGTTTGATTAGGAAATGTTGAAGCTGATACCAATAACTGTTATGTTAACGCTGTGAAGGGCCAATGCTAATTACATTATTTATAAAAGAGCCATTTTTAAAGGCATTAAATGAATATTTCACCCAAATACCAATGTTTTTTTTTTCATCATTTACTTCTCCTTGTGTTGTTTCAGACCTGTTTGACTGAACAATGCCATCAGTGTTTTTTTTTTGTTTGTTTTTTTGTTTTTTTCATCCATTCAATGAAAGTCTATAGCTCCAATATAGGATTTTTGTTTTTACTTCTCTTGCAAAAAAATTATATTGTCACTAAATGACCCTATTAAAGCTACACTATGTAGCTTTTTGGCCACAAGAGGGCGCAGTTTCCAACAATAACAAAGGCGTATGTTTATGACGCAGTGACAAGCTAAATGATGGGACTTGCTGATGGATCTAATAATGTTTTTGGCTTTTTTAACATTACAGTGGTATAAAGCAGGTCGCGACTGCTAATAAGAGACATATATGACACGCGAGTCCCGCGGATATAAAGGAATAAGGAAATTTCATCCTACTGAACTACACGCAAGTGCTGGATTACTCACACAGGTCAGTTTATTAGATGAATTAAACTTGTGAGAAAAACGCAGCGCTGTTCCACTTGGTATCACATTAAACACTATCACACTAAACGGCATTTAAATGTGTGTTGACAGTTATAGTTATTCTACGTGTTAGTTCGTTTGCTATACGAAACTAGCAGCTAGATCAACATAAGAATAACATATTGACCATATTCTAACATTTCATCATGTCAAGCTAACGTTATAACATTGATTTGTTTTATGTACATTCGCTCACTTGTCTAATAAAGCTGTAAATTCGTGACTTGTGAAGTTCTGTCAAGTCCAAATTAGTCACGGATGCTAGCTCTCTATCGAGTGGAAGTCAGTCTCGGACGCCAGCTCTCGGCGTCTCAAAAACATCACGCTGATATTGATCCTCATTTTAGTTCTCCTTGTTTGTCCCAAAGTCCGCTTGCCATGGTCTACGTTTGAACGAAACAAGAACTGGGTGCCGCTAAAAATTACTCGCTACGCAGTTGTCCACATCTGTCGCCATGGTTACGTCATGGCTATGGCAGTACGAGCGGAAACCGAGGATAGCGCGGATATTGCGTCATTGACAGGCGTAATTGTTTTTCCGGGGCTTCCAGAACTTTGGAGACTTTTGGGACATTGTAAGTACACAACTGCAGGAAATGTATCACACTGTGCAAGTGATTTTTGTATATTTTATTACAAAATTCTTACATATTGGACCTTTAATGCCTGGTACACATTATGTGATTTTGGGCTGTCCCAGACAAAAG